CTGCTACTGTAAATGTTTTTATACAAACCTTACAAATTGTTTTCAACTCTAAATATATTTGGACTAAATGAATCTATATGAAACTACATAACAATCTGGAATGTATAGGATTAATTATGATAGAATTTAAACCTAGATATCCTGGTATGAAATACAGAAAGTGGTGGTACACAATAAAAAAAAAGAAAAAAAAGTCCTACCTTAAAACCTACAGAGTTAATAATAATTCTATTTCAGATTAAATTTGGTCCCACTCCAGATTACAGTGCAATACACTATATAGTCAGTGCCAACTTTTAAGAGTTCATTTTCAAATTAGTTAATTTTAGTGTCACTTTAGTTAAAATTACACTGCATGGCTGTCACATTTTTTACAGACTATAAACTATGAACTTGATATTTACACGCTGTATAGTTGTGAATACTCCATTTAATATAAAAAAGGCTGAATCTGAATTTTTAACATCCAATTTTTTGTTACTGTGTGGACATCAAACATGCAACAACCTCAGGCGGAAACCAAAATAAATGATGGCGTTCCTGGCTGTATTTAAATAAGGATAAAATAGACACTTAATGGAATAAACAGCAAATCCTTCTCTTATGTGCATGCAGTGATTGAGTCATGGATACAACTGATTTGATTTAGCTTTAAACTTTGATCCCTTTGATCTGGTATCTGAATGTGGAACAGGAAAAACCCTGGTTTTCTAACTTCCAGCATGGTTTCAGTCCCTTTGCAGTGGGAATTGAAGCTAGGTCATGACAGTGGGTGTCCTGTTTTATTTATAGAACACAGATAAATCACACATGACATATGTTTCTGGAACGACATCATCATTTGTAACTATGTCATGATTTCTGAGAACCTTAGATAATCTCATTCAAGTCAGTTAGAGAAGAACAGATAGCTGCTTAGAAATGCATAAGCTGTATTTACTCTGAATATGCTATGTATGGCTTTACTTTAATAAAGATTTTGTTCTAGTGATGCAGACTGGTTAGTCACACAGTGGAGTTTTGTACTGTATCAAAATCCTGATCTTCTATAAAGAGCCTGACTGCCTAAAGAAAGTTTGTTGTAAAACTCCCAGTGGGTTTGGGAATTCATTTTGATGCCATCTCATTCATCTTTAACAACAGCAGCCCATATGAGAAGGCAACCTCCACCTGACTCAGTTCTGCACTGATTCAGCCTTAGCTCTACCCTTCTGGTCTGCCAGGAGTCCCACTCCTTTCTTCATTCCATACAAACATTAAAAAATCCATCTAAGAGAATTCATTCTCCCATTCTAAAAGCATTCTTGTTTTTGAGTAAAATAAAAGTGTTTTTTTTTTAGGCTGCTTTATGCCTGAAGAATTGAGGCTGCTTAATAAGATTTTAC